AAATACACTGCAATCTCGAATTTCTTTCAGATTTTCTCGCTGCGTAAACTAAAGCACCAAAAAAGCTCCATTTTCCACACAATTAAACTTTGTAAAAGAATGTAGAAAAAAAATTTTTTTTTTCTCTCTCCTTTCACACAAAGCTGTATAAGCGCTTGAAAAAATGTTTCATTTAAAAAATTCTACAAAGCGACGCGTTGTTTAATTAATTAAATTTTCTTCATGCTTGGTCAGGATCGAAAGCATGACAGCGAGAAACAGCAAAACTGACAAAAAAGTATAACCAATCAGTCGCGCGTGCGTGCGAGTGACTAGCTTGTGTCAGAGTACAGAATATTCTTTTCTTTTTTTTTTTTAAATTTTCCATTCTTCGATTAACATCTAGGTTATAATGATATTCTCAAACATATTGTGCTCGCGCGAGTTTCGGCTGCTATGCACACGTGCGCTCGATATTATAAGTTCGAAGTCATTCTCGAAAATAAGAAGGAGAAAAAGAAGAAAAAGAATAGAAAGACCTGATGAACATTTAGCATCTTTTAACTACCCACATTATTATATATTATACGCATGTTCGATCGCACAGTAGACCCTCCCTCTCTATTCGCGGTTCGATTATTCGCGGTTTTTCGTGTGAATCCATAGCCAATTTCATTGTTTTGCCATGTTTATTGTCAATGCATGTAGGTTATCCAAATCAGAATCATCAAACTTTTTATAATTTTATAGTGGCCCGCTTGTTTTATTTTAAAATGAAGTCCGCAGCACGAGGTTCAAGTGCAATTGCGATTTACGTATCGTACGTACATACCCACACGGGGGAGAGTTTGATCGGTAATTTATAATCTTCTTGTTCTGAGCATTAATACTCGTTATATGCGGAAGAAGCAGCAGCAAGCGGAGCATATATAATATAACGTGTGGTACAGCGCGAGGTCGCACATCGCTGGATTTAATTCGGTCGATTGAGGCCAAAGGCTCTCTCGCTTCTTTATACATGTGTGTGTGTGTGTGTGTGTATGCGAGAGTATACGTGTATACTCTCGATGCACTCCACCGCTGCCACCACCACGGCCGCCGACGCCGAGTGCAGCAACAGCAGCGTCGAGAGTACACAATTTTCTCTTTCTCTCTCTCTCTCTCTCTTGTGTGTGCATCGCGCGAGCGCGCGGGTATAGAACGACCGAATCGAATGCGAATTGGGTTTGACGGGGAAAGTTGCTGGGCGCGCACACACAAGCGAGCCGTATAGCCGAGGATCGCCGCAGATCTGCCTGCCGCTATATAGCGCACGTATACGTGTGTACGTAAGGGCCGGAGGACGCTTGTGCATACACATATAGAGAGCCGGAGCTGGAAAACAAACGAAGCTGTGGCACTGCACTCTCCGCGAGGCCGTTATAGAAATTGAAGTAATATTCTGGAACAGCCGTATACGCTACGTGTGTACGTGTGTGTGTGTGCGTATCTTGTGTGTCTTTACGTTGCACGGACGTTGATCGATCGTATCTCCTCGGCTATATGCTCCGTCCTCTCTCGCGCATGCAAGTACACATGTATATCGCAGCAGCGACTCGTATAATAGAACACATTCCCGCTGCTGCTGCTGCTGATGCTGTTCTCCAAGTCTAAAAGCGCTAATCACAAGACATTTCTCATCTCTTTTGCTCTCGTATCTCGAGTTTATACGTATATATATATAGTATATGGTAAATGCCATGCATGAGCTTTCCCTTTGCTGCTGCTGCTGATGCAAAGACGTGGATATTACCCTTGCATATATACATAAGGCGCTGCGTATAAACTAAGCGGCATGTATATGAATGTAGCTCGCCTCGTCGTCCTCGAGTAGTATAGTTTCAAGATCTTATAATACGCACGCGAGCGGCAGCACAGCTCGAGTTTTGGACATTGTATAATATTTATGAAATAAGCTTTCAGCTTTGCGCGCTTGAATTGCATTGCCGCCTTCGACTGCCGCTGCTGCTATATAGCTAGTGGGGCGTGTGCGAAAGACAGGGCTGCTGCTCCGCGCAAAGAGCTTAATTCAACAACGAACTCGGTATTACAACGAGCTCTCGAGTACAGCAGCAATGGCCAAAGCAGCGGCAGCAGCTCGAGGAATATTTGGGTAAATTTTCGTTTATCAAAGAGCTCTGACGCCGTTGTATATGGCAGCGGTGGCGGCTGCTCCCCGCCTGCCTGACCCTCCTGCCTCCCGACAAATATGCAGGCGATCCGTAGTGGTAGAGTATAGAGTCTGTGTACGCGACGATTGCGCGTTTCGTAAGCGCGCTTGTCGATGAAAATCGACGAGAAATCTCGTATGCGGCTGGTTCTCTGCGAAATGCGAATGGTTCAACAATTTTCTTTGCATCTGACGTCGTACGTATCCTCGAAAATTTTATTCGAATTTCGGGGACCTTTTATAAAGAGGCCTGGTTGGTTACAGCTCAGTTTAAAAAATTGTCTAGCTCGGTCCTGAGTGGTTTCGGGAAAAAAAGGACCCAATAGAGCTTTTTTACTGGAAATTGTGCAAACTTTCAGGGAAAAAAATACTCCTAATGGGTCTAAGCACTTAACGAGCTTACCACCATAGAGAGAACACCATACATAGAAGTCAAAATTTAATCAAGCTCGCTCTGGAAGCTTTTACACCAAAAAATTCACAAAGTTTTCTGACAGCGTCAACAACCGATGCCTCCTCAATTCTTGTAATTGGCTTTCAAGCCTAACGGCCGGAAAAAAATTCGAGTGCATCGGGAAGGGTAAAAAAACGCCGCAACAGCATCATAGAATTTTTTTTACAGAGAATCAACCCCATATATGGAAAAGCTTGCGCAATTGCAATACTTAGTTACGTACAAATTTACATGTATTAGACGAATGATCGACGTTTCAGCTAATTTAACATTTTCTCCTCGTGGATAGTATAGTAGCTAGAGGGAAATGGAGGTTTACACTCTCGCAGCTCGAATATATACATATATACATTTGTGTATATATATATCCCGGAGGCTTAATCCTCTCGCTTATCCCAGTCGTAAATTCAGCTTCCGCTTCTCCCCAAACCTCCGTCCGTGTCTGCCTTGTCTATCTCTTATGCGATAATCCATTTTTGGTCTAAGAAGCTCGACAGAGAGAGAGAGAGAGAAGGAGCAAGAGGGAGAGAGAAAACTTGTCTGCATTCATCAGTTCACAACAGCGCAGCAGAGCAGCAGCAGCAGCAGCACCACCACCACCACCACCACCTGATCGTCATCGGATTATAATCGACGAGGCTGTGCGGTGGCGGTGGTGCATGGGCGGTGACAGCGGCAGCAGCAACGCAGCCTTAGCAGTTATATACGATGTAACTTTGTTACACACTTTAATGAGTTTGCAGAGTAAAATCACGATAAGTCGAAGTCGAAGTAACGTAGCTCGCAGTAGTGGCAGCCTCGAGATTCTGACGAACACGATGTTGTCATCCTCTCTTTCTTATTCGTCTTCGTCTCTCAAATTTTTCAACGATATATATTACACGTAGTAGAGAAAGAGAGAGAGAGAGAGAGAGAGAGAGAGAGAGAAAGAGAGGGAGAAGAAATTTTTAGCGGACAAATAAATATACGTATTACGCTGCTGCTGTGCATTATTTTATAAATTCTGCTTCGTTGACCAACGCTTATACTTTTATATAGCTATATATGTACGAGTCAGGCTCGAACTTCCTCAACGTTCCTTTAACCGCTTCATCAAGGCTACGACTCTGCTTGCCGAGTGCACAGCACACACACACATATATACCTTATATACATTACACAGCGAGCGAAATCTAGATTAAGGAATGACCTCAAGTTTAATTAGCTCTTCCAAGTGCATTATACATACATCTACACTAGCCGTGTGCGTATACGTATAAATGCGTGGCTGCTGCTGCCGCTGTACATAAACAACTGCGCACACGAGTGTGCCTTGCCCAAGTAAAATTTAATAGTTCCTGAATAAATTTTAATACGAAGATTCATACCGATGATACGGGCAAGTTCGTATTATATGTGTGCTATATACAAATTAACGAAATGAAAAAAAAAAAAAAAAAATTAACGCATCGAGCTTGCTGTGAATAAGTATACGTGTGTGTGTTTGTGCCCCAAGTAAATATAATGTGAACCGAAAGTGCAGGCACGAATAAAATGGAATTAATATTATTACACATCGGCTCGCTCCGGCACTATAACACACACACACACACGCGCGGAACGATGATAGTGACCGAGGTCGGGTCCTTCGCAACGCGACGATGACGAATCAATCGGACCCAGCACCGAGCTCTCTGTGTGTAACGATTCTTCTTTCTGCCGCGCATTCGCGCACACACACACAAAGTCCGTGTAACGCTGTCTACGAACGTACGTATATGTATATAAAAAAAAAAAAAAAAAACTCNTATAAAAAAAAAAAAAAAAAAACTCGTGCATGTGCACGATGTCCGAGTTTGTACATCGTGTTCTATATAATGCATGCGTCCCTATACACGTGTATATACATCGCCGCACCGATAATGAAATACGTGGTGTATTGTTGATCGGTACGGCACGGCAACTTATAGCCGCGCGCGCGCGTTGAATTACGATTTTCATAATGAAAACTAATCGCGAGCGAGCTTGTGAGCCGCCGCCGCTCTACTCACCTGCGCGCACGCGATTCATTTGTACGATATATATATATACCTGTATATATAACTTATAGCAGAGTCTCGAGTGGAAAAATATTTTTTTGTGAAAATAAAAAAAAACGAAAGCTGAAAAATTTATCGCCTATCCTCAATAGTTCGATGTATATGTAATTTTTTTTTCTTCGCTCTTTCTTCTATATATCGTGCGCAGCTCGTGCATTGCGCGCGGTCGCGCCTGGGCTTTATATTGTCAAATCGAATGCCGCTGAATAGATAAAAATAATGTCTAGATTTTAAAACTTTATTATTATTATTGATATTATTTATTGAAGCCGATGCGAAATACATTTTTTTTTCAATTCAATCGGTGAGAAGTATGGTAGACGTATCAGTGACTGACCGTGTTGGAAAAAATTTATGAAAAACAATCATAATTATATTTTTATCAGTGTTATTAAATTCTTCAGTGAATAGCGCATTTCATTTTCAATGTTTAATTGATATACAGCACATGTATTACACATTAAATTTACATATTAAAATAGTAGAATTATTGCATATCCAAAATGTTCAGGGCCACTTAGGGTACCGCTCGTATCCTATCTCCTCTGGATTTGTGTCAATAGAATGCCAAAAATCACGATCCGTTAATCTCACTGCTTTTCCTTCGGTAATTCTGATAAAGCAATTTCTCATCCCATTTTGCGCTTTATGTATCTGGGTTTTTACTTTTTCGTAAGCTTCTGGTTGTTCGCATTGGTCTAATTCTTTCATGAATTGATAATATTGCTCATTCAACTTAATGAAATCGACTTGTTTCGAAGCCTCCAACGAAGCAGTGTCGACGGTAATTACTGCCTGAAAAAATGAATGAAGTTTTATTTTATGATCAGTAATCGGCTCGTGTTATTCTTACCTTCATTAAGCACTCGGTTGCGGAGAACGATGTTGAGAGGGTAGCATCGTCGACGCATTTTTTAGCCACCTCGACCTGATTGTCGAAGACGACGAAGGTCTCGTCGAGCGCCACGAGGGTCTTGTTCAAAGGCTGCAGAAACTTTGTTAAATTGCTTTGTACGCACTGTTCTAGCATCGTATCGATTATCCAGCCATACTTTAATATTGGGCCCGAGATTATGGATCCGCAATCGAACGTATTATCAGTAGACATTTCGATGGCTGCATCTGCTAGTTTTTTAAGTTCATCTTTATCCATCTAAATTCGATTGAGAATATTATTTATGCATATATTCGATGTATGTAGTAGAATCGAAAAAAATGTTTACCCAATCTAATAATTCTGCTGCACGCTTGACGCGGATTTTTTTCAAATCCTCCTTTGCACTTTCCTGCACATCTATTATAATTTGCTCAATTCGTCGGTGGGGCTCGGTCACGACTGGCTTTATGGTTGTTTCCAGAAAGTCAATAAAGATTTTTAGCTGCTCCTTGATATCGCCTTCGACTGCTCGAGCTTGCGCTCCCTGAGAAAAAGTTCGTTTTATGAATAAGGTAAAAAATTAGTTATAAATATCGCGACGACACTCAAGAGTTCAAACTTACGCAAATAAGGAATAATACGGCAAAAGCAATGTGGAACTTCATGATTCAAATGTTCGTGGGCTACTGTGAATAAACGGAGCTAAGCATCTACATTTTATAGTTGAATTTTTGCGAATTTTGAAAATAAAACTATAACGACGAGCACTTTTTTTAATGAGATTATCAATCTATTGATACACATCTTCACTTGATATAAATTTAGTTGTACATGACTATTATCCTATGACTACAATTTGCCTGTATATTTCCGCATTCAACTAATCAATCCATTGATAAAAAAATTCAACAAAAATACCACCTTATCGTTCATTCTGATTTCTTTTCAAGTTTTTTTTATCTCGTTGTATGCACGAATTTTAATGATTTACGCATTTACATTATTTTTCCAGCATTTTTTTAGCGATTGTGAGAGAGTCGAAAAGATAAAGACACGGCGGCGGGCGTGTGGCGCTGCTGGCACACGGCAAAGAGGTCCGCGCGCGCCTACCCGCGCTCATTCATCTCGACATCTTTAATACTTGTTATAATTTCTCCATCCTGGAAAACATTGTTTTCGATAGATTTTTGCCTCCTCTTTCGATTGGTGCAGTTTATTTTGAAATCGGAGAACACATATTTGAGATAAATCGACTTAAACATTCGAGTCGAATTTTTACCACAAAATCAATTTTTAAGAATTTTTTAAGTTACACCACTAAAAAGAAGAGGAAAAAATCTATCGATCCATGTGTTTTTTTTCTGACTTTTGGTAAACGTTTGCGAGCGAGCTAAAGATACGATACTTTCGGCCGAAAATGCCGTAATCGCGCGGGCTGGCCGACTTATGCTGGACGCGCTCATATATATACATATACACACCGCACCGTATATAAAGCTCAATTTATAACAATGAGACAATGATACACACTCGCGCGTTCATACATATAAGACACACACACACACACACACACACACGGAGATAACAGTGCAAATAATTGCAATCGTTGTTACGACAAATTAGAGCGTGTTAGATGTCAACTTTTAACGACACGATGTATAGCTCTCTCTCTGCGTGTGTGTGTGTGTGTATAACGAGAGGCGCTCCGCTCTTCGTCGTCGTAGAGCCGCATCCATTGATTGGTCACGTGACTAATAGCCCTCTGTACTGCTACTGCTGCTGCTGCGTTCACATAGGCAGAGCTGTATAATATATGATCGCGTATGTAAAGCTCGCTGCGCTCTCTCTCTCTCTCTCTCTCTCTCTCGACCGATCTAGTTTTGTGTGGCGCGCTCGTCGCGCCCAAACTCAAGCGTATATGTGTAGAGTGCAATTTTCCAAGAGATCATATCATCGTTTTCGCGCTCGCAGACACGTACATATACACATTTATAAATGGGTGTGTGTGTGTGAATCTTTTGAAAAAGAGTTTCGCGATCGCGAGTCACGAGAAAAATATTTCCTTCTTTGACTCTTCGTTATTATTATTATTATTTTTGTTTTGCACGTGCTGTACGCGCTTGGCATTATAAACCCACTGCTCCGGTGCGGTATATAATTAAATTGTAACATCTCGCGCGCTTACCAGCACAGGCTTCGAGGATTATAATTTATACGACTCTGGCTCGCTCGTGCAGCAGCTAATAAAAGTTATATACATATGCAAAAACAATTCGTTCGTCGCGCGAGACCTTTTCTCATTCTCTCTCGCTTACACTCTTTTTTTTGACCCGGCTTGCCTCGAAGCGTGAACCCTGCCGCCTGCAGTCAATGCACACGCACACACACACACACACACGAGCACATCCATATAGCTTGCGATGAAAGCAAGTCTCGTGTCGTGGCAGCAGCAGCGGCAGCAGTAGTATTAAGCATAGTGCGATATTCTCAAGCGCAAAGTTTCAGCGACTTTCGAGCTTGGGCGCGCTCGCTCGAACCAATTGCTTAACTCGGCTCTCGCATATGCATGCCGCGTTATATATTCCGCTGCCGCTGTTGCAGTTATAAGCTGCCTACTATGGCGGAGATCGTTTGCGCACGTGCGCGAGTGCGTGCTCGGTGCGCGCGGGGCACGAGATATCATAGCGGCGAAACGGTCGATTAGACTAAAATTAACCCACGCGCGTAAAGGAGCAAGCGAGAGAGAGAGAGAGAGAGACTATACGGTTCGACTTTATACGCATGCATGTATGCGTGTATATATGAGTAAAACCACAAACATATTATAAATATCCGTGCATATAGGCGTTTTATGTGCGTACGCGCGCGCTTATTATACGCTGCAGAGAGCCAGCGCGAGCCGAGCTCTGAGCTGAGCTGAGCAGCAGCTGCAGTTTTATGTTAGCAATGCATCCGTGCGAGACACACTCACACACACACACACACACACACAGACATCGGCAGAGTGAATTATAATTTCTGGACTATCGTACCGTTTTTATTTTCCCTCTCTCCTTTTTTAATCGTATTTTCATAACCGATATATCAAGTCGTTTCCTCGAAAACCGAGCATGAAAAGTATAAAAAGTCGCTCGAAGCGATCTGATTTACTTTTTCGAGTCGCGTATAGCGAGCTTTTTATACATAAGATTATTACGCTTTTATCATTAATTTCAACGCTGCAGAAGAATATTTTTGCGCGCGATGCGATACGTACACGACTTGTCTTCTGTTTTTTTTTTCTTATTTTGCGCGCGAGAGAACGCGCGAAACAAAAAGCGAAAAACGAAGGAGCGCGAGAGAAATTGGTAGTGTGCGTTTTCAAATCGAGCTCCGAAAGTTTTACGAAACACGCGATCCGGCTATTTTGAGGTTTTCTTCATATTACTATATACGTATACGTACGTACGTGCGCGCAAGCTCGAGCTGCGCAAAAGCGTAATTTATCAAAATTTAACCGTCGAATTAGTCAAGCGCGTATATATACTCTCCGTTCGAAATCGTTGGCTCCGGCGAGCGAATGGATGTCGAGTTTCCACCTTCTTCTGCTTCGTCTCCATCTCCTTTGCCCTCGTCGTAGTCGTCGTCGTAGTAGTAGTGTCCCTTCTGAGCCATCGAGTTAATTAAACTTCGAACGATCCCTAAATCATCGAGCAATTGAGAGGGATTTTATGGTCACGTCATCGGGCGTGAATTTGATACTTATATACACTCTCTTGGCTTTGAGACATATTCAAAAGCGTCGCGAAAAGAGAGAGAGAGAGAGATAATTTCCCAGGAGAGTCAAGTCGCGTTACTATAGATACTACCTGCACACACGCACACATACTAATACGAGCACCTCTGCATGTCCCCCCTGCGCTGCTGCTGCGCGCACTCGATCGAGTGTGTATTCGATGTGTCGAATTAAAAGTCCGACAGCTCTGATGACTGATCGTAGATTATCGCCAATAATCGCGTAGAGAATTTAATTATAACGAGAGCCGCAGCGTCGATAACGCGAATAAATATATACATAAAATATATATATAAATGCCACATTGCTGCTGTGCACGCGGAGTGCAGCCGCGCGATATCTCGAGGCGATAATCGACGATAGCAGTAGAGGCGGCGAAATATTTGAATTCACGTGCAGAGCAGCGAGGCTTCAATCGAGGCTGGCTGGCAGCAGCAGCAGCGGTATGAGAGGCTCTTATGCAATTGCCTAACAATCGCACACACGTCGAGTTTATGCACACACGCACACGCACACACACACAGCGATAAATATATAAGCGAGCATCTCTCTCTTTGAATATCCCAAGGAAAATAGCTCGTGGAAACCCGGAACGCGAGCTATACTGTACGGCGTATATCGCACGTACGTCTAAACATTCGAGGCATTTGTTTATTATGCTTTCCCAAGCAGCAGTAGCAGTAGCAGTGGCAGTCCAAAGCTTGTGAGTTTCTAATTCAGGCAGGAAATTTATTTTTATTCGATCGCTGCCGATCGGTTGAATGTTTAAGCATACATTACACGCTTTTGGCAATAACTTTTGCCGCGCGTTTCCCCAATTGAATAAATATCGATTTCGATAGATTTATAAAAATGTTACATATATGTATATATGAAAAGAGCCCGATAATTATTCATTCGGTAATTATAAACTTCCTCTTCGATATTATATTACGAATTCTCTCTCGAAGCTATTTTTCTAAAATTTTAAATTTTAATTCATCCAATTTTTCGCTGTACACACACACATTTTCGTCGCGTTGTACCATAGTAATTGATCCCCCCCAGGAAAATTGCCTTGGAAAAGTCCGTGTGCGTGTGTACCTTCCCCCCCAGAGAGCTTTGGCGAATATTTTCCATCCGTGTATATAGTTTTCGTTGCGCCGGGACGCTTGCGCGCGCGCGTTAAAAGTACTAAAGCTCTCTTTCAATCTCTTTATACACTGACCATGTTCTCTCTCTCGCTCGCTCTCTTCTCGTTCGCTCGACGAGTTTAAATATAGAGGCGCTAAGCGTGCTCTTCGCGAGGTAAACTATATAGCACACGGGTGTATAGTAGCGTTCGCTAGCTCGCGCGCGGAAGCACCGAAAAGCCGCTAATTGCATTCTCGTCACGCGTCTGGAGTTTTGCCCTGCCACACAGCAGCAGCAGCAGCAGCAGAGTATATAGTATAATTTACACACAAGAGAAGAGAGTAGTAAGCTAAGCTAAACATATACATCCAACGGTAGACCTGCTGCTGCTGGTGTTTCCGTCCTCTCTCTCTCTCTCTCTCTCTCTCTCGGCCTCTACAACTACTCAGTGAAAGTCGGGTTGGTGGCGACGACGACGACGTCGGTGGTGGTGGCGGCTTGGTACGCGCGATAAGTGAATTTTCGACGACGACGACGACGACGATGCATCGCCGCCGACGCCCGAAACAGTATAGCTGCTCTCTCGGCCACGCGATATGTGCATTATTATGTACATGTAAGCACACGCACACACACGCACATCTTACACGTTTCGT